TAAGAAACCCTCTGTGTAATTTTATCTTCTTCTTTTAAATAAAATCCATTCTTCCACAAAATCACAATTGATATCAAAGCCTACTCTTTGAAGGATTAATAATTGCCAAAGAAAGGATCTTTGGATGTCCGGGTCTTCATCCACAGCTTCATACTCCGCTAGCACGAATCCACCTTGGTTTGATGGCACAGACTATACAGTCTGGAAGAAGAGAATGTGAATCTATGCTCGTGGTGTCTACGAAGATTTGTGGGCAATCGTCAGAAAAGTTCTTGTTCCTATGGATGACGAAGACGAAGAAGAATGGAAAGAGGAGCAGAAGATCTCATCTCAGCTCGACAAAAGAGCAATGCACATCTTGTTCTCCGCCCTTTGCTCTGAAGAAAGAAGTCAAGTTTCCCAATGTGAATCTGCGAAAGAAATTTGGGAGTCTCTTTAGACTACTCATGAAGGTATGTCTGATGTAAAGGAAAGTAGACTTGATGTTATGTTAAATGAGTACGAGTCTTTTGAAATGGGTTCAGGAGAATCAATCTCTAGCATGTATAAAAGGTTTAACGACTTAATCAATCGTTTGAAAGGATTAGGAATTTTTTTTGAAATAAAGACCTAGTTAGAAAAATTATAAGATGTTTACCTAGAGAATGGTTACCTAAGTGTACTACAATTGTGGAAGCTAAGGATTTAAATGTATTGTCTATAGAAAGACTGGTTGGATCTTTATTGAGTCATAAGAAGTTATTATTCGAATGAATAAAGACGATTATAGACGAAAGAAATTGATTGTGTTTAAAGCACAGGAATACAATAGTGATTCTGAGATAGACATTGGGGAAGAATTTGAAAGAGAATTTGCACTTATAAGCAGAAAATTTCATCGAATGCTCAAAATGAAAAAGAATTTTCAAGCAAAAAGAGCATATCATGATTCTAGACACTCTAACAAGCAATTCTCTGTCTTCAAAAGGGATAGAGAGAAACTGAAAGATTTCCTACTAGACTAAGTGAAAAATATTCATCAAACCGACCCTCTTTTGAAAGAAGTTCTCTAAAACTATATGACAAAACTTCTGAAGGTTGAGAAAGGTTCAAAGTAGATAAGGAAGACCACAGGTCTTCCAAAGAGAAGGATTTAACTATCTGTTCTAAGTGTGGTAAGACAGGTCATATGCGCTCAAAGTGTCCCTCAATCACAAAAGCTCAGTAAAAGGCACTGGCTTCATCCTGGAGCGACTATAGTTAAGAGGAAGATCAAGAAATAAAAAATCTGACATACATGGCGTTTGTATCAAAAGGTGATAGTGAATCCTCCTCCTCAATGAATGGTGATCAAATTTTTCCCACAAACTATCAGGTAATCTCAGATTTCAAGTACCAGGATACGGTTTTTAAACCAAGAGTTGATTTTCTAAATGCATTAACAAACTTGCAATAAGAATGTAACAGGCTCAAGAGCAAGTACTGTTTGCTTATGACAGATAATCAAGCACTAAACAAAGAGATACTTGAATTAAAACGGATTGTTCATTACCAAAATGAATGTCAAAATGTTCAAAATAAAATAATCTTTGATCTAAAAAGATAAGAATCAAAGATTAATCAATCTTTGCAAAGACAAAAACCTTAATAAAGGTCATAAACACGACTGTTGTTACTCTAGTCATTAACTCATTATCATAAAAAGCCTATTAGTAACAATGTTCTAAATAGAAACACTCATAACAATGTTTCCAAGTATAAAAAATAGCCAGTTATCTTTGTTTGTTCATGTTGAAAACGTCAAGGTCATCTTGCTAAGTTTTGTTATGATTTAAAAGGATTAGAAAGGCCACCCATATCTAAATCTTTTTGGGTACCAAAGTGTGCTAATTCTTGATTGATTGCAGAACGTGGGAGAAAGTGAAAACATCTGGTACTTGGACAGTGGGAGCCACCACATGACAGGTAGCAAGGAACTTTTCTCATCTTTTTCTTATAAGAAAGGAGATAAGGTTGTTTTCGGTGATGATAGAGTAGGTATAATTCTCGGAAATGGCACAGTTGGTAAAAAACCATTTCAAGTGGTAAAAAATGTTTTATATGTTCAAAGTTTAAAACACAACTTACTCTCCATAAGTCAACTCTGTAATACTAAAAACAAAGTTATGATTGAAGCATCTTCGTGCAAAATTATCAGAATTAGTAACGATAAATTGTTATTCAATGGATGTAAGAAACATAATATGTATGTAGTTGACATGTTCAGTCTTAAAACGTTTAATAAGACTTGTTTTCAGCCTGTTTCATTTGATCTTGAACATCTTTGGCATAGAAAATTAGGACATGTTTGTCTTTCAAAACTTTCAAAACTATCAAAAATGGAATTTGCTCGAGGGATTCCTTCCTTGAAAGAAAATGCTAAATTCTTTTGTGACGCATGTGTTAGTAGAAAACTTTCTAAGAAAAGCTTTAAATCTAAAAGTGACATTATTACTACTAGAGTATATGAGTTGATTCATATGGACCTCTTTGGACCAACAAATGTGGTAAGTCTTATGCTTTCGTACTTTTTGGTGATTTCTCTAGATATATTTGGGTATATTGACTTGCATCTAAAGATGAAGCTTTTGGAAGATTTAAGACCTTTGTAGCTAATGTGTTAAATGAATCAGAACATGGAATTAGAACAATTTGTAGTGATAGCGAAGGTGAGTTTATATCTGAACACTCGAGTACTTTGTGTGATGACAAAGGAATTAATTATACATTTTCAGCACCTAGAACTCCTCAACACTCAACAGAATGGCGTTGTAGAAAGAGAAAATAGAACTATTATTGAAACTACTAGAACCATGCTTTTAGAATATAATTCTCCGAAATTTATATGGGGGAAGCTGTAATGACAGCTGTTTACGTAACAAATAGGGCACTAATTAGAAAAAACTATAAACAAAACACCCTATGAAAATTTAAAAGAAAAAACTCCTAATCTAGGATATTTCATCTATTTGGATGTAAATGTTTTGCCCTCAATACTAAAGATCATCTTAACAAGTTTGATGCAAAATCCGATAAGGTAATCTCTCTTGGATATTCTACTAAAGGATAAGCCTTTAGAATCTATAATCTCAGAACAAAAAGAGTAGAAGAATATGTTTTTGTAAAATTTGATGATTCTGCAAGTTCTTAGGAAATTTATGCAGAAAATGTAGACTTTCTGTTTCCCACTATCAAGCAAGCAGAGCAGCCTGCTCATGAAGGAGTTTGTCACATTGATGAAGTGTCCAAGACAGATAACAGACATGCACCTGCTCACATACAAAAATGCCATCCTCAATATCAAATCATTGGTGAATTAAATGATGAAATTCGTACTCGAGGTAAGTACTCTCCAGGTCAGTATGCCTTTGTATCATTACTTGAACCAAAAAATTACAAAGAAGCTTGAACAGATGATGAATGGCTTTGTGCTATGCAAGAAGAACTAGTACAATTTGCTAGATTGCCACCAATAGCCAGAATTATTATCGGTACCAAAAGGGTGTTTAGGAATAAAACTGATGAATTGGGTAAAGTCACTAAAAATAAGGCTAGACTAGTTGCACAAGGATATTCCTCCTCCTCCTCCTCCCTCAGCATCTCTTCTTGGTTCTCACCCCCAAGGCTGCACCTCGTGCGAAGAATTCTAAGCCTCTTGGTGAAATCAGCAAATTTGATGGTCTGATTTTCACAATCTCCGAAGGAACTTCTTCCTTAGATGATTCTGCTGCTTCTGCTCCTTACTAAGGGTTTAGTTTTAGATTCTTAGTCATTTTGTATTGCAGTTCCATATGTGAACTTGCAGCTTCTAGGTGTTTATGTCTCTTCAACTATAGGACTTTTGTATTGCCGCTCTTCATGTGAACCTGCATTGCCTCAGGGGGAACTTTCCCTCCACTGCTCTCTTTTGTATTCTGTTTTAATGAATGAAATCTTTTGTTGTTTTCGAGTGCTGCTGGTTTTGTTTTATCTTCTTCTTTTGCATACTTGTCGAACGAAGGGGGAAATTGTTGACATATGACCACGACGTCGTTTGCTTAAAGACTCACACGACGACGTTCTACACTTGATGCATACGACACCGTCTCTTCAATACGACATACTCCAAACTTTGATCGTTCTTCCAAGTCTAGTCAAAGCTCAATCTTCTCAGATCATCTCAAATCTCAGGCGCTCCATCCTTTTCCTCGTTCCGCTCCAAATGTGTCGCCCTCTACAAAGATAGTTAGACAATAACGTTGAAGATTCATGATTGCAGCAAGATAGGCAACGAACCTTTCAATCCTCTTCTTCTATTTAAATCATTGATATCTGTAAGATCGAATTTGGCGGTTACAAAGAGATTAAGCAGGGTATAGTCTTCTGTATTGGGTCTTCTTCACTCTTCAGTAGCTCGATTCACTGTGTGAGCTTGAATTGAGCTTGGGAAGTAGGTCTATAGGTTTACCTTGTTGATTAAAAAGAAATTGAACCCTCTGTGAAATTTTTTCTTCTTCTTTTAAATAAAATCCATTCTTCCACAAAATCACAAAGTTTGATAGTTTTGCACCTGACTGGAGGCATTTCGAAACTTGATAAGCCATAAGAAATCAGTCGGGCCAGGCTTTGTATGATAGGGAAGAAGCCATCGTTTTGGGCTTAAGGCCCATAATAATAGCGGAGGAAGAAGGATTGAGATTGGTTCGAACGTGGGCCATGCCCTCCACATCCAAACTGGTCTCATCCGTCGATCTAGCATAGGTAGCACCACCCAAATACCCATCTGACGGTCACCCTTTCTTGTACGAGTCCCGACTCCCGAAACAGGAGTAGTTGACTGTCGGAGCACCCAAGCCGCGAATTGGTCCGAGCCGAATCTTCAATTTTCCGCTGCCGCGCGAGCTTTCTGGACTGAGGGTGAAGGAACCGTTCCATTCTACAGAGCGGGAAAATAAAGGGAAACCCTAATCCTCAGAAGAAACAGTCTTTCGGCGAAATCGAAGATGGTGAGCTCTCCGGTGGTGAATACGTACCCTCTGTCGAGCTACACGTTCGGCACCAAAGAGCCCAAGATGGAGAAGGACACCTCCGTCGCCGATCGCCTCGCCCGTATGAAAGTCAAGTGAGCTCCGTCTCTTTATTCCCCTTTATGTCGATTTGGGTTCCGTTTTTCATTGGATTTTGGTAATTCGATTTTTTTTCTTTCCGGGGGGCGAACTTGGAAACCCCAAATAAACCTCTCAGTTGTATGCCGAGAGATGTTTGGAATCGTAGGAGGAAGTTAATGTTGAAATGAATTTGTGCTGCCCTTAGGATTGGTTTGGGATCTAAGATCTGGGAATTCTAGGGTTTTGGTTTAAGATGGAAGTTCATAGTTTCATTATATTTGCGAGAAAGTATCGTCGAAAGTGTAAAGGCTGTGTCTTTTCTCGGTGCATTTTTTTCTTGGCCCTGAAATTTACCTTCTAAATGAAGGATAAGGGAGAGTGACATCTAGCCTGACCTGGCCTGAAGGCTGCCAGAATCTTCTTTTCTTTTGAATTTTGTGTAAAGTGTGCTAGAATTCATTATTGAACCCGATTTTTTGTTTCCGCGCAGCTATATGAAAGAAGGGATGAGGACAAGTGTTGAAGCGATTCTTCTGGTATTGGCACTTGGCAATATGCGAAACCTTTGAGGCCTTACTGATTGTGGAGCTATTACTTCTTGTAACCAGATTTAACCTTAATGATTGTGGAGCTATTACTTCTTGTAACAAGAGTTTCCTTACTGATTGTGGAGCTATTACTACTTGTAATTAGAGTCTGCCGTTCTGATTGTGGAAGATTGTGGAACCATTTCTTCTTGTAATTAGAGTTCACTAAGCTTGTAGCCATAAAAAAAAACCTTAGTTAACTATTTGTACCTATACCATCACATTCATTTGTCTTTTCCCCTCTTTATCCTGTCAAAATTTCCCAATTTTAGGTTTTGGTTTCATTGTAAGGCACATGACGACCATGAATCAGTCTCCAACTACTGGTAATTGCTGTTCTGCATATGCTGATTTTGATCTGCGTGATACAGCAATTTGGAGAAAATGATGTAGTTGTATTAGTTGGTTTTTGCTCTTTCTCCTAGAATCTCAACTTTCAGGATGTCTTACCTTTTAGTTCGCCACTAATTATTCCCCTCATTTTTGGTTTGCTTGCCATGTTTGAGTTGAATGATATTCAGAAGATGTGCATTCCAGACATTGCTTGACTTCTCATGTTGAAGCCCGTACGTGTCTAGTAAAACAATGTTCAATTATCTTGCAGGTACAAGAACACAATCATCCCCACATACTTCTTCTGCAAATTGGAAACACCTTCTGCAAACTTCCAGGTGGACGTTTGAAGCCAGGGGAAAATGGTATATTTTCTGCTCATTCTGTCAGAACTCAGAATGTTCATACATTCATTTGTTACGGATTGTGCTACAATATATACTGATGCAAAGCTAATAGAATCGTGTACTTGACCATTCTTGGACTTCTGTAACAGAAATTGAAGGTTTGAAGAGGAAATTGACGAGCAAGCTTGGAGCTAATTCACCTGCTCTTGTTCCAGATTGGCAGGTACTTGTTAAATTCAAATTATGATAGCAGCTTGATTTTTACTAATTTTTTTTAGGGATGAAGACAAGATTAATACCCTTGAAGCAGGTGGTGAGCAAACAAAGATGTGTATACATTTTTTTTCTACAACGAAGCATTGAACTTTCAAAGAAAACTAGATAAATGTAACAGAAGAGTAGGATGCAGCATTTCGCCTATGCTTTCTCTTAGCACTCTTGATTTTATTTTTCTTCTGATTGCTCATTTCCCCTGGAAACTTGCAGATTGGTGAGTGTGTGGCTATCTGGTGGAGGCCAAACTTTGAAACCATCATGTATCCATACTGCCCTCCTCACATAACAAAGCCCAAGGTTTGTGGACTACTTGTCTAAAGTTTTCATGTCATTTTTTTGGGTATAACTATCACAATAATCATATGCATTGTACTTATGTTTCTTATTTTCTGTGGTTGGTATTGCAGGAATGTAAGAAGCTCTTTCTTGTTCACTTGTCTGAAAGAGAGTACTTTGCAGTCCCCAAAAATTTGAAGCTTCTCGCTGTTCCATTGTTCGAACTGTATGACAATGTGCAGGTAATGCAATCCTCCCCATGTCTACAATAGTTTAAGAATGGAAGTGGCAAGAAATCTCGTTTCCACTTATGTCATACTAACAACATCTCGCTTTGGTGGCAGAGATATGGTCCTGTGATATCAACCATCCCTCAACAACTTTCAAGATTCCAGTTCAACATGATTACCACTTGAATTATGCCTGCCATCTCAAGGATTGACGTCTTAGCTGCCCGAAACTGAAAGACCGTCAGGACTAGTTATCGTATCTGATGAGCCGATACCTTGATGGATGATGATACTATTTGTTGACAGACTTCAGAAGTTTGGTTGAATGTTGTACTCTTTGATCTGTTCTTGTTGTGTGCCCTGTTGGAATTTGTCTATTGGTTATTTTTAAGGTTTAACTAATGTATTGGGTTAATTAGTGCGCACATGTTTAGTAAGGCTTGCTTAGAGAACTAATTAGTTGTATTGTAGTTCTTAAGGTGCCTATGCCGACCTTAGAATCAAAACCTCTAGACCTATATCTCTTAGAAGTTTCTGTAGGAGCAACCGGTATCTGTACTATCCAGTGGGAGACTCCACTAAGATGTTATTTCTCTTCTATGAAGAAATTGTTTCCTTACCTTTTGCAGAGATGTTCATATACAAGTGCCCTCTTGAGCTAACATCCTACGTGCTAATTAGTCGAACTCGTACTGGTTGTCTTGTGAATCTTCATTTCTTCCATCTCTTGAGCTAACACCCCGTGTAAATCTCCCCTCACTTGTTCCTGAACCCATCAAAACACCTTTCGACGAAGCCTATGCTGGTGATGAACCTTCGGTTCCTTGGTCTCAAGGTCATGTCATCGTAGTCGTAGGGGACAACTCCAGATTATAGGGGACAACTCCAGATTATTGCAGAGATTTGGCAGTTTTGGCCTCTGATATTCTGCCTTGACCAGGTTAGTGGTTACTAACCAGTGGTACGTCTGCCATGATCCGAATCTGTTCAGTTGCAGGATCCCCAGTGTATGCTATGATGATAAAATCACTCCTGATACAGCGCCGGTGCCAGGTTTCCTGACGGCTTGGTATGGGCAATGACGATGGGTGAATCTTGTTATCGATGACAAAATGTTCTCAGCAGGAGTCGCTAATAATCGATCTGAAGAAGGTCTCTATATATTCGTTAGGGCTGTTAACGTGGAGGACATCCATGGTGATTGATTATCTATTCTCCTGCATTCAAGAAATAAGAGCCACCAATCCCCAGTGAATGGTTTCTTACTAAGTGGATATTTGTTTACATATGAGACAAAACACAAATAGATTGATTAAGATCCTCTTTTCTTATTGCATGCTCGAACAAATTGCAGATCCCTCTAAAGCTAACAAGCCACTGCATGATAATTACTTATACCAGTCGTCTTATGAATCTTCATTCCGTCCATCTTCTCTCTTGCTTCTTGAACTTCAGGCCACTGACCTGCATCGGCATGTATACTTGATAAAAGTGCATAAACTCCTGACTCTTCTGCTGTAGACTCCATAGCTCTCTTCCCCACAGTCTCTGCAGACTTGACATCGCCCCTCACTTTGCAACCCGCAAGCAGAGCTCCCAATATAGCAGTGTCAGGCTCGTAAGGCATATTTCTCACTAAAACTTGTGCCTGCTCAACTTGACCGTTTCGGCAGAGCAAGTCAACCATACAACCGTAATGTTCTATCTTTGGCCTAACCTGGTAGTCTCTGGCCATGCTAGCAAAGATTCTGCGCCCTTCCTCGAGCAAACCTCCAAGGCTGCAAGCAAACAAGGCGCTTGTGAAACTAAAATCGTTTGGCCTTGTACCCGCCTTCTGCATCAACCAGAACAACTTGATGGCATCTTCTGCTCTTCCATGAATGGCTAACGACCTGATCATTACATTCCAGCAGAACACGTCCTTGTTCCCGATCTTGGTAAAGATGGAGAAGCTTCTGTTCACGTCTCCACACTGGGCATACATTTCTACAAGGGCAGTGCCCACCATGACTCGTAGTTGAGACCAATCCCTTATTAGGCAGTGCACGTACCTCCCAAATTCCAAGTCGCCTAGCTTAGAACATGCTAGCAGGACAGAGACAAAAGTGTAGCCATCGGGCAACAACCCTTCGGACTGCATTTGAAGAAAGAGAGATAATGTTTCTTCGAATTTGCTGTGGTGGATGTAACATGAGATCATTGAATTCCATGACACCACATTCCTGTGAGGCATTTCGTCGAACACTTGCCTAGCTGTTTCTAGATCACCCGCGTCAGCATACACTCCGATCATGCTAGTCCAGGAGATGACATTCCTTTCAGGCATACTGTCAAATAATTCCCTTGCGTTTGCTACTTCTCCAGCTTTGGCATAGCCCGATATCATGGAATTCCAGGAGACAACGTCTCTTTCTTTCATGTTCTCAAACATCCGCCTTGCCGACTTGATGTCCCCCGAGTTTCCGTACTCGGTTATCAGTCGGTTGCAGGCTTCTACAGGTCTCACAAGCATATTATCAAACACCTTGCGAGCATTAGTTAATTTTGAATCAGTCGTTTCCTGCTTCGAAGCCGGCATTTTCAAGTACATATTAAAAAGGGAATTGGCAACGGAAGGGTTGGATTCAAACCCAGACTTCACAATCTGACAATGCACGATCTCCGCTTCCCTATACCAACCATACTCACAGCACGAGCTTATGACATACGGGTAAGTATAGTTATGTGGCTTTACTCCTCTCTGAAGCATTTCATCGAACAGTAACAGGGCATTCTCGACGGGTCCATTGAACGCATAGCCCCTGATCATAACGTTCCACAGGATTGTTTCGTTCAAAAAATGATCACCCAATTGGGAGAATATCACATCCGAGTAACCCATGGTGCCGAATTCGGTGCTTCTGCGAAGAAACTTGGAGAAGATCGGAATGTTCTGCGCCAGGGACGTTGTGATGAGGAAGGCTTGAATCTGTTTGAGATGTTGGAATGTGCATTTTGGCAGTAGACCAGTGATCTTGAGATCGAAGTCCCAAGTCATACCGAAGGGAAGGTAAAGTCGTCGCCTTTGGATCCAAGTCTATCCCTTTTGGCCGGAGATACAATCGGAATCAATCGCCTGGTCAACGGACAAAGTAAATGGCGGCAAGAAGGGGAAGGAATGTCAAACTCGCGCGAACAGCATGCGTGCTCCGTGTGATGCCATACCAACGCAAAGACAGCTAATCCTAACGAAATCTCGCCAACTTGGTTGGCGTTCCCTGCTCAAGAGAACTATTAGCCTAATCAGAATTTCCTACGGTTCATCAGTAATACGGCAAATTCTGTGGTACCGTGACGGTACGGTGCCGTCATATTTTTCTAACTGGTTCAAATAGCGTAGCTGTGATTTAGAATGGTTGATACAAGCTGGTTGGTTGGGTTATGATTTTTGGGTGGCGGAGCCAATGCCAACAGCCAGAATCTCCAATGAGATCATTCACCCTCGATTCTCCCAAGTTCACTATTGGGTGTTCGAATGTCGGCCGTCGAACTACTCCTGGGCATCGAAAACGAAGTTGGATGCAGGAATTTGGCCCGGTTCATCTTCGAATGGCGGGAAAGAGACCAACAAATTCTTCCATTTCGTTCTTGTGCTATTAGAATCTGAATCCCGTTGCTGGACCCAGTGTACATCGCCGCAGCCTGGTGGGCAGTGATGGTGGTTGATGGCGGCGGTCGTGCGGCGGGAGAGGAGCATGCAGAGGGCTTGCGGCGGTGGAGGTGGATGACCGGGCTGGTGGTGGGGCTCCCCCACGACGCCCCGCACTTTGAAGAACATCTACAAATCTTCAAAGCGTCGCCATTTTTGGGGATAAAGTAATGATGAGATGAAAGGCAGAAGAAGATGAGGGGATTGAGTTTTTGGTTCAGGGAGAGATCTGATGGCCGGAGATTGCAGCTATTATGTGAAGGATTTAAATATAAAATAAGATAGGTTTAACCAAAGATAATAGATTCAACCTATTCCGGTTAAGTGGTGGTTAACAATCAATGGTGCTCAATAAATACAATAAATCCAACGGCTGAAAATCAGGCGACACTAGTGTCGTGCCTACATCACAGAATCCGCCCAGTAATAGTTAGGATTTGTTATAGTTACTTGCAAGTTATTGTGACTTGGAGAAAATGATAAATCGGTAAGCGTTTGTTGTAGACTTTTTTTTTGTCATAGAAATCCTTGCGGATTAACCAGATAAGCGTGTGGGGCCACACCAATTACAACCCCTACACAGACTCAAAGACAGACCATATAGGAATAATCAAATAATACATTACTTATACCAGGATAGCGTACGACATTACGTGCCACGTTATGGACAGCCCAATTCGCTTCTCGAGGTGAGTAAGCCAAAGAAACCAAAGGTAGACGAGTGAGAAGATATAACACTTCACGATATATTGCACCGCACCAAACATCATGAGGATTGTTAGACCCTAACCGCTCCAACACAGCTTGTGCATCTCTAGTGATCTGAACAGGATGAGCATACCATCCCCCAACGGGAAAGGAGGAGTAAAGCATAACGGACCGCCAATAATTCCACAGTAGTATCATCAACTATCCCTGGTAGAGCGCACCCAAATCCAAAAGCAGCCTGACTGCCAACAAAGTTAACAATACCAACTGCACCATGAGTGGGAGATGATGTCGCGCTATTCACAGCAATCTGAAATCCGGAACTCAATTGGGGAGCACAGAGCCGTCGAGGTGGTGGTGCCTGGGCCAGAAATAGAGGTTGGACGACAATTTGATGATCGGCCTGGTGTGACAGTAATTGACGATGAAGGCAGGCGATGGTAAACTGGGCGTGGGGGAGGAAGACAACATTGTTGAAACTTTTCCAAAGTCGCCAAAATAAGAGAACCCAGATGTAATAGAGCGGATATCTGCGGTGAATATGAGATGTCGCCAAAACAACGAGAGGTGGGTGGTGAGAAGGAGACCAGGAGGCAAATGGAGCCCTACGAAATTACGCAAAACAATTGCCACCGAACATCGAAGAAATAAATGCTCGACTGATTCACCTTCTGCGGACTCACAAATTGGGCATAAGTTGTCAACTTGCAGACCATGGCGATTTAGGTATTCTCGGACTGGCAGAATCCGCAAAATAATACGCCATAGAAAAAATTTGATTTAGGGGAAAGTGGAAGTCCCCATAATTTCGGCCACAATTTTGGATCCATCAGAGAGGCCGATGAAATGTTTGCTGTTTTGGAGGCGGTTTTGCGTCCATAGCCAGGTGGTAAGCAGATTTGATGGAGAATAGGCTATCGGATTGATAATTCCAAATGTAACGGTCCAACCCCGGGGTCAGCGGTAGCAAAATTTTTAAGATTGCTGAAATCGAGTCATTCGTAAAGAATTGGCGCAAACGTTGAATATATCAGGTTCCCGAAAGAGGAGATATAAAGTAAGAGACAAACCGAGAGAAAGTGGAACACGATGATAACAAACAAGGTTTGAATGACGACAAAGAGGGGACCCACGGATCTGTCATCGCATCAATGGAGGTGCCAAAACTAACTTCCCACCGCAAGCCTTTGACAAGCAAGTCCCGACCATGTAGCAAAGATTACCATGCCCAAGAAGAATTAGAACCCTGCCGAGCATTGAGAAAAGAAGTATGGTGGAAATAACGACCTTTAAGCACCTTAGCTAACAAAGAATCCGGCTCCGTCAGAATACGCCAACATTATTTTGCAAGCAGAGCCTGATTAAAAGCTTCAAAATCCCGGAAGCCTAGTCCGCCTTCAGATTTAGACAGACACAAATTCCGCCAAGAGACCCATGGTAGTCGGAAGCCAAAAGCAAGACATAGCATAGACCGGCAAAGCAGAGACCACAGACTTGATCAATGTCTCAAGACCAACAGGTGACAGACATCGTCATTTCCATCCTTGTAATTTTTTGGACACATCCTCCTCAATGAAACGGAAAGTACTTCTTTTAGAACGATGAATTAAGGATGGCAGCCCGAGGTATCTATCCTTAGCCCCAATCGCACCAACCCTCAACAAGGCGCCATAATGAGAAGCCTCGAATGGGAGTGTGTTCTTAGAAAAGACCACCGCATATTTAGACAGGTTTACCCGCTGACCACTCATATATTCATACCGTCTCCAAAACTCGAAGAAAAAGAAACGCATCATCAGCGAAAAAATAAGTGAGATAGAATGGGGCAATGATGATTAAAGTGGATGCCTTTTAAGTCACTTCGCTGAAGCGATTGAGTCAACAAAGCCGAGAATCCTTCAGTACAGATAGCAAATAACAATGGTGATAAAGGGTCACCTTGATGGAGACAATGGGAAGGGTGGAAATAGCCATAGGAGATGCCGTTAAGGAGAACGGAAAATGTCGATGTAGAGAGACAGGTACGAACCAAAGCAATGAGACGAGGATCAAAACCCAATTTCTCCATCACCCGAAAGAGGTAAGGCCACTCAATGCGATCATACGCCTTTTCCATGTCAAGTTTGAGTGCCATAAAACGCTCCTTGCCGCCACGTTTACTAGAGAGATAATTCATAACCTCCTGACTAATGATCACGTTATCCACAATCGAACGATCCTTAGTGAAACCATTTTGGTAAGTAGAAATAACCTTTGGCAAAATGTCGCCGAGATGGGTGGCCAAGATTTTAGAAATAGTCTTATAAAAAAACTTGGCAGAGACCAATTGGTCGAAGTTGAGCACACGACTCCACATTTAGAACTTTGGGGACGAGTGTCAACCAAGTATGATTGAAAGCTCGCAATAGATGACCAGAGCGAAAAAAACGATTGCACTGCAACGCAAACATCATGACCAACGACATCCCAATAGTGTTGAAAGAAAAGGGTGGTGAACCCATCCGATCCTGGAGCTTTGGAGGAGCCGATTTGGAACACCATATTCTTAATAATAGATGAGGTCACCGCCGCTAGGAGTGACAAATTCATAGAAGGAGTGACCCTTCCATCAAACTGCAAAAGAGTCCAAAGCTGCTGTTATACCAGTTGGCGAGCCCTCTGAAGTGAATAATGTGATGAAATGCGAGACAAACTCCAAACCCTTGTCAACTTCATCGGTGACAACCTGCCCCGAGGCTTGCCGTAATGAGGACACAAAATTCTTTGATCGACGAGTTTGTGCAACCCGATGGAAGTAGGCAGAGTTACGGTCGCCCAATCGTAGCCATGTAGTGCGAGATCGCTCTCGCTAGAAAGCTTCCTCTTGATTCCAAGCGTGGGTGAGTTCCTTTTGCAAAGAATGGATATAACCCCAATCATGAACCGACAAAGAATGTTGTTGTTAGAGTGCATGAGTTAAATCATTTATCCGTCGCCGCGAGTTTGAGAAGCCCCCCATCGACCACCGGAAAAGAGCATGACGAGTGCGTTTGAGCTTAACATGCAAGCGATACATTGGAGAACCGAGCACATGCAAATTCCAGTAATAATGAATGATTAATCTAGCTTCCGGGTGAGAGACCCATCGACTATCAAAGCGGAAAAATCTTTTGGCCTTAGAGGTCCTTCGTCACCAAGTCCACAAAACCATCCGATGATCAGACCCATCGTCCGATAAATGAGTGATCAAAGAATTGGGAAAACAAGCGATAGCATCTACCGAGAAAAGGACACGATCCAATCGAGATTCCACCAATAAATTACCAGATCGATGATTGGAGCGAGTGAAAGGAGGGCCACTGAAACTAATGTCCACTAAGCTGAGATCGTCAATGAAAACGGAAAGAGGTATCCCTGTTGAATGGTCGAACCAGTCAATGCCATTTTTTCCCGACTAGATAATATTGTATTAAAGTTTCCAAATAACACATATGGGAGGTTAAACGAATTAATAAAAGTACCTAAGTCATTAAGTTGGGAGGAATGATGAGAAATATCGCATGAAAAATACACACCAATAAGAACTACACTTATATTACTGGTCACATCCCAAAGGAAAGCAATAAACATAGAAGAGCTATCCAGAATAGCCCCACGAATACTAGAGTCCCACATGAAAGCCAAACACCCACCCGACGTCGCGGAAGGGGGAACAATACAAGGATCGGAGTAACCCAATCTAGCTAAAATAGTCTCACACCGAGCACGGCACACTTTAACTTCACTTAGAAAAACAAAAGACGACATATTACTACGAATAACACTTTGGAGTTCACGAAAAATCAAGGTACCTCCCAAACCTTGGCAATTCCAACTCAAAAGCGTCACTGGCGGCTTGGTGACCAATTGGGGCTGGTCACCACCACCACCACAGCAACAGCAAGTTAGACTGAAGGATCAGTATCAAATAGGTGGCCATTGGAGTCAGCCTTTGTCTCCGGAAGCACCTCCTTGGCCGCAACAGTCTCCGTAGGATCATCAGTAAGGAGAGTCACAACAACGGCTGTGGACTGAGTAGTGGAAGTGGCATGCACATGCAGCTGGGCAGTGGTGTCCATGAGGGGAAATGGCGCAGTGGGCCAAGTAGAAGGCACCGCAGAAGCATCACCCACTAGTGCAGTGCTTAAGTCAACACGGAGGAGATCGTCGGTCAGCAAATCAGACTCCTCAACTGGAGGCAGCCCATCCGACAGTAGAGGTCCAAAAGCAGCAGTCAAATGGTCGCAGGCTTCATGAATAGCATCAGAGAAATCCAGCACCCTTTTAGCCATCTTATCTTGGGGAAAATCCGAAGGAGAAAGGGAACTATCATCACCGAAACGCTTACGATTGACCATCAAATCCTCCTCGCGAAGCCCAATGCGAAGCACACAAGAATTACGGGGAGGATATGGGAAAGGGATCACTTCAATAGGCCTCTTACCACGAGCCTTGTCAGATAAAGGTTCCCCAGCAGTTGGAGGAACAAATAACTCAGCTGGAGCAGCCCTATCTGCAGGCCTCACCGGGCTATGATGAGTGGAAGACCCCGTCGAACCCGGAGACTGAACGAGAGGCGCGGAGAGAGGAGTACGGGTGGGCATTGGTGCGGTTTAGACCGCAACCGCAAAATGAACCGCAAATTGCTCCCACCACTACGTATTCTTTGCTTCTGCAATTTTGCTCATCACCTTTGGAAGAATGATTATACATATATTTATTTATATACCACTTTATTTTACATTATACATTTAACATAGAGTCACTTTGTTTGTGCTTATATTCACATTTCACTGCACAGTAGTCTAGAGAAGTAAACTTTCTGTCTACTCCATTAAACACAAAAACTACATCCAACAATTGCCGAAAAGCACAAATTAGGTCCTGCATAACCACAATGTTTCCTTTTTTCATCAATATATATAGCCTTTGGTACTTACAATTAACATATACGAAAGCAGAGCTCCCGCCATGTCTAAACTCCAAATAACTCAGTATGTCCATATTTTCACGAATTGCCGAAAAACACAAATTAGGTCTTGCATAACCGCCGGCGAGGCTTGCATGAGTAACTTGGCGCCGCCGCTGGGAAGAATAAATCTGGGCGTGAGGTGAGAACTGAAAAGTCTCGCTGAGTGGTGGTGGGTGACCTTACAAGTAGGGATTTAGAGGTTAGCGATTTTGAACCGCAATCGCGCGGTTTCGGTCGATCCGTACCGCAAACCCCAAAACCGTTTAACTATAGACCGCAAAAAAAACCGCAACCTTAATGGTGCGGTTTGGAGCGGGCGAGGCGGTTTGGACCGCACCAATGCCCAGCCTTAGAGAGGAGCAACCGCCGGCAAAGCCAGAACTGGCTCTGCTTTCAGAATGACCACGTAAGATGCAAATCCTGAAATCTAGCTTCCAAAGGTGGAATGGCATCTGCCGCCCTCCAAGCTGCAGCCCTATAGAAATTCACTGGTTGACTACTTCTAAAACACGGTCAACCTCACATAAGCTTTTTGTATCTTATCCCCTTTGTTTGTAATTGCTTAACTACCTTTTGCATTTTGATATAAGATTTTGATTTCGATTTTACAAGATGGATAATGAAGAAACAAATATGGACGATGGTACTCAGAATGTTGAGCATGAACAAACAAACATGGACGATGAAGATGACATGCATAGTGGGGAAGATGAAGAAACTTGGGATACTGACGGCAATGATGAGACAAATGAAGAGCTCAGAGACAAGCCAATGACATATGCAGATGATTCAACTTCAGCAATCACCATCAACGCTATATGAGATCACATGACTGATCATATGGGAAAAATTCATACAGATGAGCACACTTCAGCTGACTATAACTTAGATGTGGGATGAATTCCGATCTTTCAGTGGACTATATATACATGATCCCAACACATCCGAGCACAAGAATTTTAGAATCACCAATCAAGATAATCAAGTTGAGTGAGCAGAGAGAGATCAAGGAACTCCATAAATTACATTATTCATTTTACTAGCTTATAACCGGGCCCGTTGGCCGGAATGTTCGTATTTGAGTATTTATATTTTATGTGATGTTTAACTTTATCAATCCATTTAATTTTTTGACAATCCTTCGATCGAGATGATACACAAACAAAATGAATGTATAGGTCGTACATTTGAAGAAATACCATAATCATTTAAGAATATAAAATATAAAAATGTATCCTTAATCCCATTTCATAATGATAATTAGGCCCCCGTTAAAATGCTATTGGTTAATTGTTTGTCAGAAAAGATAGAGTATAAAATCTCACTGAACCTAAAATCTACAATCCTACATAAAGAGTTCAATGCTCTCCTTTTAGAAACAATATGTCATTAATAAAAAAGAAAAAAAGAGTTAATGATTCAAGTCAACCAAATAGTAACAACTCAACTAAAAGTGGACCGTCAAAATTTGAGAGCAAATGACAAAATTATGGTTAGCTCCAATATACTAATAAACTTGATCAAAGTAATAAGGCACAAAATTAGACACTCCGTATCTACCAGTTCTAGTAGTTTGAATAGAGAATCGATCTTAATTTCAGTATATCAATCAATGATTCCTCATTTTAAGATAGACATAGGTTGTGGTAGATGCAACAACGATAAACCTAAAGGTCCAATAACCACCACTCTCCGTTGTACAACCAACTTTTTATTCGCTCCATCTTCAATCTCAAGAGGCATCTGTTTCAACCCAAAATAATTCAATTTCTGATCCTCCTCTTGCAACTCTTATTTTGCTACTTTGATGGAGTTTCTCTCTGTGGCCCTCAATTTTTCTCTTCAAATTAGGGTTCTTGTCAACTCTCTCTTAAACTCCTCAATCCTCTTCTTGAATTTGACTAACTCATCCTCCTTAGGGGCAATTGTAATAAGCTCGGCAAAACAAAGCCTCATCTCCAATTTCATCAATATGCTCATCTCCTCCTTGACTGCCTTCACCTACTCGAGTTCACTTCCATGCCCTTCAATACCCTCTCTATTTTCATTAATATCCTAATCATCTCTCACTTCTCCCTCTTCAACTATTCCAGTTTTTCTTTCATGGCTTTCAATACCCTCCTCAATTCAATCACTACCCTCAGAAACTCCCCCTTCTCTGCCTTCACCTGATGTAGTTGAACTTTACTTCCTACCAAATCCAAACATAATTTGTCTCCCCCACCCCCCTTCCTTTCCCAAACCTAATCCAACTCTTCTTTTGAAGTTCAACACATCCACCTCTCAGAGTACTGTTGCGTGGAGGCTTAATTTTAGCAATCATTATGACTTGCAATTATATTGATGGACACTTAAAGCATCGATAAAATCAACAGTGTCTAACTAATCATAAAACAATATCAAAATTTATCGGTGAGCTGGACCATAATATTGACATTGATGAAAAATATGGTTGCGGAGAACATGAGCATGACAGAATAAAACATGAGCATAAATGTTGTAATTGGAAAGAATTTTTTTTAAATGGTGAACTTATTTTATTATTTCAATAGCTAAGCAAAGGAAAAAAAATATAGCAAACAAACAACCAAGAAAGTAGATAGGGCGCTTGGAAAGTACAATTGCGTCTGTTCTACACACATCTATTTGATTTCAAACAAATCTAGCACCCAAACCACCGTTCGAATTCCTTTCCTATATTTTATAAATCAATTACAAACAACTTAGATAAATTTGGAAGGAAATAATATCCTACCAGTTCAACTCAATGAACCTTCTATGAAGATAGAAAACTCATTGAAGTTGAAACCTAAGAATAGAAAGAGGAGCAACGACGCAAGAGATCCATCGGGCTTAAAACTCGTATTAGAAAATATGATCAAAATAAATAGATAATTTACATTTTCTGCTCATGAGACACTCTGGAAATAATAGTTGTTTTGTTATTACTAAGAAAGATAAAACCATGAGACAAATAGAAGAAAAGAATGACTTACATATGTGAAGCGATTAACCTTGGACGAAGACCAAAAACCCATTCAAGTTCATAGTTTGGTATAGGAAGAGGAGTAAAGGAGGAAGATATAACTGATCAAACATCGTCTTCAGCAATAGAAGCAGCAAAATAGTTCTTCTAGTAGTTCATCGATATAGGAAAGATGGAACCATTGCGAGATGCTAGCGCGGAGGAATCGAGCGAAATAGGCCAGACCCTAACTACTTGATTGAACTCCATTCTATTCACCATGGACTTATATCGAAGTTGAAATCTCCTACTTGCCCAGCTTCAATCTCCAACAATCAAACTGTAATTCTAAGAGATACAAGAAGATTGATTTTCATAGCCGACATTGTAGTGGGAAGTGGAAGGGAGCATACTATTGAACTATTGAGGGAATTTTATAGGAGCTTAGGAAGGGATATGAACAAAGATAAAAAGTGCAAAAAATATTTTAAATTAAAAACATGCAAGGACACAACACAAACACATAGTAAAAGAAATAGTTTCTTCCATGCTACCCTTAGCGAAAATTAAGAAGAGAGTAGAAATTTTTAAAATGGAGAAAGTTAGATGAAACTCTACTATGAAAATCGATGTATCAAGCACTATAAATATACTTACAACAGACTTAGTGGGCTAGCTAATCATGATGGAAAGTCCTCCGGTTTTCAGAGTTTAACTTCATCTATAATTTGTATTCAAAAATTAAAGTTACAACAAATTTGTTTAGTGTAATTGGTTACGTTTGTTGTCTTAGGAACCCTGGTTCGAATCTTGGTATTGATTTTTTATATGAATTAATTAAAAATTGTAAAAACTAAATTACCCTTCCTACTTTTACTCTCATTGCAGGAAATTTGAAATGGAGAAAAGTATACAAAACTCTACCATATATTATTGGAGGATTTATTTTGCTGCGATCTATTGAGCTTGTAAGAAGATTTGATTTAAAGTAACTATGATTTTGGGTTGAGATTAAATCATTGTGATTTTGAATTTGAGATACGTGCGAACTTATTGTTAGGTGTATTTCTTGTGTTTTGGTGTTAATGATTAAATTTTTAAGAAGTATGGTTGTTTGCTATTATAATTGTCGATAGAATTTCGGTAGTAGTTTGTTAGATTTCTAACAGAGCCTAATATTTTGGGTTCTATGAGGCCGATTGGACTATTACAAAGGTCAACCGGAATAGGCAACAACTCAAGGTTGTTGTTCTTGTACAAGATCAACCGTAAAACCAATAATTTTAATCTACCAAAAGGATGGTTTGTTAAGTTTGAGGGTCGAGCATTCTTCCCTGTGGTCGACCTCCTGCTTATGAGTCTCTTACGCACGATTAAATAGCCAGGTTTAAGGCCGACCACAATCTTTCTCAGAATGGCCATGTTGGTGTAATCTGTGGACCACAACCACTTACCTTCGACTATTTTGTCCAAATAATTATGACTTACAAGTTACCATAGACATACCCTAAATAGTTATTCCAAATAATTATTAGAAATATTTATAATGGAGTATAGCCTATCTATAAATTCAATCACATTCATCTACTTGACAAACCCGACTATTATGATTATGTGATATCGGTTAGATTGTATTGATACCTTTGAATTCATATTTTGCATCGTTAATTTTCGGTCATAAGGGGACATTTTTGTGAATGACGCTTTATCGCTCCTATCTAACAGTTGCGAACATAGATGCAAGGTGATCAAACGACAACGACACATATCGATCACCCCTCTGTCAACATGCAAAATCAATTAAACCATTATCGCCTATTAATTTTTAAAACTTGCTTTTCAGAAAAACTTATCGCAGAAAAGATTCTTTATTTTTTTTTATGAATGATAGTACAATATCGAGAAGTGATTGGTGTAGTGGTTCTACCACTAGTTTTGAACCTAGAGATTCGACATTCATAATTTTATCTTTATGGTTAATAACACAACACATTTTATTTCCAGGTTGTCTCATGAGTGCTTCATGCAGAAGATCTATGTCTTTTGATCCTATTGCCTAATACGATGTTTGAAGTCCGGCGGACCTCTTGCGTCATTGCTCATCTTTCTGTTCTTAGGTTTCAACTTCAATGAGTTTTCTATCTTCATAGAAGGTTCATTGAGTTGAACTGGTATGCTATTATTTCCTTCCCAATTTATCTAAGTTGTTTGTGATTGATTTATTAAATATAGGAAAGTAATTTGAACGATAGTTTGGGTGATAGATTTGTTTGAAATCAAATAGATGTTTGTGTAGAATAGTTCCTAGCGCCCTATCTACTTTCTTGATTGTTTGTTTGCTGTTTTTTTTTTTGCTTAGCTATTGAAATAATAAAATAAGATCACCATTATATAAAAGTTTCTTTTCAATTACAATATTTCCGCTCAGGTTTTATTTTGTCATAGCTAATGTCTCCGCAATCATATTTTCCTCATCAATGTCAATTCTTATGGTACAACTCACCGATCAAATTTTTTGATCTTGTTTTAGGATTAGTTAGACACTGTTGATTTTTTTTTTTATGTTTTTAGTGTCCATCATATAATTGCAAGCCATAATTATTTCGAAATTAAGCATCCACACAACAATCCTCTAAGAGGTGGGGGTGTTGAACTTGGAGTGGATCTGTTGAACTTGGAGTGGATCGGAAGAGTTGGGATTAGGTTTGGGAAGGGAAGTGGTGGGGAAGAAATTGTGTTTGGATTTGGTAGCAAATAAAGTTCAACTACATCAGGTGAAGACATAGAAGAGGGAGTTGGTAAGGGTAGTGATCGAATGGAGAAGGGTATTGAAAGACATGGAAGCAAAACTGGTGTTGTTGAAGAGAGAGAAGTGAGAGATGATGAGGATATTAATGAAAATGGAGAGGGTATTCAAGGACATTGAAGTGAATTGGAGCAGGTGAAGGCAGTCAAGGAGGAGATGAGCATATTGATGGAATTGGAGATGACGGTTGGTTTTACCGAGGTTATTACAACTACCCCTAAGGAAGGTGAGTTAGCCAAATACAAGAAGAGGATTGAGCAGTTGAAGAGCGAGTTGACAAGAACCCCAACTTGAAGAGAAATTAAAGGTCACAGAGAGAAGGTCCATCAAAGTAGCAGAAATAGAGTTGCACGAGGAGGATTAGAAAGTGAATTTTGGGTTGAAACAAATGCCTTTGAAATTGAAGATAGATGGGATAAAAAGTTGGTTGTACAAAGGAGAGTGGTGCCTATTGGTTCTTTAGGTTTATGGTTGTTGCAGCTACCACAACCTATGTCTATCTTAAAGCGAGGAATCATTGATTGATTTAGTGAAATTAAGGTCGATTCTCTATTCAACCTACTAGAACTTGTAAATAATGAGTGTCTAATTTTGTGTCTTATTACTTTGATAGAGTCTATTAGTATATTGGAGGTAACCCTAAACTTTTCATTTGCTCTCAAGTTTTTTTGGTCCCCTTTTAGTTGAGTTGTTAGTATATGGTTGACTTGAATCAACAACTCTCAATTTCTTTTTTATTAGTCACATGTTGTTCCTGAAAGGAGAGTATTGAACCCCTAATGTAGGATTGTGAGATTTTAGTTTCAGTTTTCAATTATCTATAGGTCATGTGTGAATTCCGTTGGGCATTTATACTCTATCTTTCCTGACAATCAATTAACCAATAGCATTTTAATTTTTAACAGAGGCTTAATTATAATTATGAATTGGGATTAAGGATACATTTTATATTTTATATTCTTAAATGATGACGTTATTTCTTCAAATTTTCGACCTATACATCCATTTTCTCTGTATCATCTTGATCGGAGAATTGTTAATAAAATTAAACGGATCGATAAAGTTAAACATGTATAAAAATATAAATACTCAAATAAGACATTTTGGTCAACTAGCCGGGTTACAAGCTAGTATTTAAAAATGTGCAAAATATTTGACTAATAATTAATCTTTGTCTAAAAAATCGCGAACCACCCCAAAAGATTGGGAGCACAAAAAATAAATGAGTAATTTTGTTGTGGTATTTGGTTCCAAATTACAGGGTTGGCTGAATAAAAAAAATATAACATTTTATACTTGTTATTTCACCAAATAAAAGACTATTGTCTGCACCAATTATCTTCTCATTCTTGTTTTGTATCCCAAACTTCCCTCTCCTGTCCTAATTATCTATATAACCATTATTTGGTTACCCTTTTAGTTTCATTATACCTAACACTAACTAAGACTCGATATTTCTTGACAGATTATTTCATTAAATGATGTATAAATTTCATATATATATATTAATACCGTTTCAATTTTACAGTTCGAATATTTTATAATTGATGTGAATTTTTAAAACACACTATTATATCAAAATGACGTATAACACTCATACACGCTAATACCGTAACATATGCATGTTAATAGAGCATGCACACACGCCGACCAAACGAGGAAAAAAAACAACGTGATTAAGAAAGGTAAATTGATAAAATAAAAAATTTAAGTACAAATATCACATCAACAATACCGCTACTTATAAATCATACATGATATTTCTTACAAACGTTTGTCCAATCTAAAAGACTATCCCTAACCAAGACAGTGTGTTTCATCCTAGAAAGAATTGTTGCGACACTTATAGCAAGGGGTGGCTATACGGTTCGTCCGGTTAAATCGGCCCGAATTGATCCGGTTCCAGTTCGGTCTTTTCGGGAATATATGATCAAAGATTAGATTAGATACAATTTGGTTTTGATCCGGTCTGGTCTTGACCCGATCGAGTCCCAATTCGGTCTTGATTTTAGATTGAACTTGTGGGGATTTGAGTGGCCTGAGGACTCAAATGGTGAGGAGTTGGTTAAGTTTTGGGTGTTGGCTCTCTTATCTGGTCTTTATCCAATTTTCGATCCGGTACCAAACGGTTGCTTACCTCAAATCTAAGTTCAAATATTGGATTGTTTGCTATCCGAGTCCGTTGCCAATCCGGATTATACGGTCCTGTTTAGGGTAAAACCAAATAGCCCGGATCAAATAGCCAGACCTACTTATAGCGCATATAGCACGTAAACTAAAACCTAGTTAATTTCTTTTTGTTAATCTCATTTAACAGTTAGATTGTCAACACTATCATAGTCTTAAGCGAATCAACTTTTATTTATAACATAATAAATTATGAAACTTCAACTTTGATGAACCCAACTGCTGGGTTTGTATATACGGGCATGCCAATTAACCCCAAGCTGCGACAACTTTTTCTTAACTAATCATTATATAGAAAGTCTAGACGATGGATGATGAAATGAATAAAAATTGCAATTTTTCTAAGTTATCACTAACAGCTAGCTAATGGAGTCTTCTTTTTGTAATGTGTTTTTAACAATTTGTCAACTCTCAATAATTAGATTCTGATGATGACGAAATTAGAGTTTAATTTTGTTAATTAGTTTCGCTGTCATTACCGACAAAAAGGTAGTATTAGTCGTTCATAACCATACTACCCGTACATGCTTGATGGTATTCGACCATCCTCCTGTATGTAACTAATTATACTCCCTCGACTCCCTCATCGCAAGGAATATTCCGACCCACATCATGGTCGTATCTATATTCATGAATATCAATATGATCTACAATTTTACGGGACATATATTAGTTTGGAGACCTAACCCTAAGTTTAGCAAGTGGCCTTGTTTGAATGTTGAAATAGAGTTATATATAGAATTTTATGTGTTTGGATTTTTCAGTTGTTGATTATCATATATGTATTTCTGATACAAAAGAATTTGAATGTAAGAGAGATGAGAGAGAAAGTTAGAGAGAGAGTTGGGGGAGGGCTAGAGCGAGGGAGTCGTTCGGTGAGAGTTCTTTTTCTTGCAGGTACACAACGGTGAATCGGGATTCAGATGGTCACAGCATCTCGGGTTCTCTTCAGTACAGGTCGGATGCGTTTCGTTTCAGGCAAGGCAGCGAGTTCAAAACTGTTGTCATTGAGGACTATGTTACGAGGAGAAAGGCCTTTGTGAGGATCACAGCTGCTGAAACTGGTCGCCGGAAGATGTTTATCTATTTGGAAACTTCTCAAGCGGAGTGGCTTGGTAAATCGCTTCGAGAAATCTCGCGGATGGGATGGGACATAAAGGCAAATCATCAGAAGAAGGGATCCTCTCACACTATTCAGATTGTCAGGTTTGCGTGTCGAAAAGGAAACTTCATTAAAATATCGGAAAGGCTGGACGGCGGGTATCTGTCCTTCATCTCCATCCCTTTCGTCCCAAACAAGTGGGAAGGAATGATCGATAGACTCTGTCGACCAGTGAGCAAAGTAACCGTGAGGAACCGCATCGCGCGTAGCGCTTGGGTGGCTCAGGGTAAATCTTTTGCGGACGCTGTTAAGCTGGGGTTCCCCTCGGAGCTGGGGAAAAGCATCATCAAATCTCATAAATCTCAGGCTTTCCTGGAGGTGGAGGATAGGGGAATCAATGATAGGCTGCAATTCCTGGACCGTTGCTAAATAATAAGTTTCTTCAATAGCCGGAACCTGGGACTTCCGTCTTCTCTGACCGGAGAATTTGTGTCTTGGGCTAGAAAGCGGCGAGGGTTATCGGATGGATCAGTCTTCTCCAACCGGGCGGGGGACCTCTGGTATCTAATCTGCTCTTCTCTCTCTGAAGCTATTAGGGTTCAAGAAGACGGACATGCCAAGTTTCGGGAATGGAACGTCTTGCTGCGATTGTGGAAAGTGGCTGACGGGCGTAGCTATGCTTCCCCCGGTGGTTTGCAGTGGATCATGATATTCGGAGTTCCTCTATTCCTTCGCTCATCGGATGTTCTGGAAAATATTGGACAAATTAGTGGGGGTTTCGTCGACGTTGACCACAATTCGTGGTCGGATCCGTGCGTCCGCATCAAGGTTCGGCCAAGAAAGGAGCTCCAAGTTTCACTGCCGTTAAGATTTGGGACAACTGTATTCATTGTCAAAATTCTGTCGGAGCCGGAAGCGGTCGATCCGGTGGTGGATTTGAATCGTCGCCGCCTTTTGGACAAGGTCTTCGAATCATGCTCTGCAAGGAAATCGCTTAATGATGAGAGTTCACGAATTCCAAACACATTGGGCTGCGCCACAACTTCGAAGCCCTCCCGCGACGCTTCGTTTCTCTCCGATCCTTTACTCTGCAAGCATGCGTTGCAGGCTTCCAATCCCCATGCTGTTCAGGCCATTAGTGCGAAGAAGAACTGGAGCTGGGTCCGCAAAGCAGGCCCATTACCCAAACCCATTTCATTTTCTTCACCCTGCTCGGATCTCTGCCCACCCAGCTCCCCTTGCACCTCCTTCTGCAACCCTTCCTCCCCCTGCCCACCTCCCAGCCCATCTACCTCTTCTCCTTCCCTTGGGCCGACCCATCAAATCTCGCTTTCACTCTCCCCTCCTGGCCCACCCCCAAGACCCAGACCCACCCACCCTTATGCTTCACAATATCTCTGCCTATTCCCCAGCAGTCATCTTCAATGTAGCTATTACTGTCCTATCACTTACTATCCCTCCTGCAATCACCCTCCATATACCGTTTTCCCTTTTCCTTCTTACCCCATCCCTCCTCCCTGCTTTCCTCCCACCCCCTTCAGAAGAGCATTCCCCCTACCGACCGGTCCTTTCCAAACTCACAGTCTAATCTCTATTGTCCTCCGTTGCCTAATCCCTACCCTGACTATTACAATATCTCCTCATCTGATTCCCCTGGTCCCATGGAGCCTGACCACTTAGCCATTATCCCTTTCAACCCTCTCAGTTCCGATTATTTCGAAGAATGGCGCAGCAAACAAGACCTCACCAATCTGATTGAACAGAGCCCTAAGATCTTTGATATTCTCAAGCTCACGGACTCAGTTTCTTCCGAAAATGCGAAGCAGAAGGTTGCTCTCATTGCGGCTGATTCTCACCGCAAGAGAAAGAGGGAAGCGAGATCTAAGCTGGAAATGGAATTGCGACATCTCGGTCTTGACAACCCTCCTCCAACCTCCACGGCTCGAAACCGCTCGGTTCACACGTCCTAGGTGTGCCGCTCTTCTTACTGCATGTGCCGCATTGAGGTCATGTCTCACTCTTTCATTGCTTGGAACGTGCGTGGGTTGGGAAACCCAAATAAGAGAGCAAAAATTAAGCGGCTTTTGAAGAGATGGAGACCTTCTATAGTGGGCCTCACGGAAACTAAATGGCATAAGTGTGACAAAAATTTGATCTCGTCACTTAGTGGTTGCAAATCCAGTGAGTGGGTCACCAAAGATTCAGTCGGAGCTAGTGGTGACATTGCCATTTTTTGGGATCCTACTATCTACTGGGTTTTGACGGTTTGGGAAGGCCGATTCTCCTTAGCTGTTCGCTTGAAGATAATTGAATCCGAGGACATCATTTCCTTCTTAGTTGTTTATGGACCTCAGGACAAGAAAGAGAAACTTGAATTCCTCAAGGAAATCGAGTCAGTTTGCAGAGAATACTTGGCTGCGTTGTGCATTATTGGTGACTTTAATCTTGTCAGATCAGAGGAAGAATTCATAGGGTGCCCTAGAGACTTGGAGATCATGAATGAATTAAACAATTTGATTAATAGATGCAATTTGGTGGATCTTCCGCTTCAAGGGGCTAGGTTCACGTGGAGTAGAGGAGGCGGGGAGAATTATGCTTCTCGTATTGATAGAGCGCTCATCAATTCAAGTTTTGAAGATCTGCTATCCCCGGAGACTCTGATTGCTCTTGACCCTGTGGAGTCGGATCATAACCCGATCCGGTTACAGTGGGGCTCAATTGAACATTTCATCCATCCTTGGCGGTTCGAAAATATGTGTTTTCAAGAAGATTCTTTTCTGCAGAACTTGGTCGGGTGGTGGAGTATCCCAGTCAATGGGACTAGTTATCTGTTCAGATTTGGGCAAAAATGCAGGCAAACCAAACTAATGATCAAGCAATGGAACCGAGACCACTTTGGGAAAGTTGAGAAGCGCGTCGCTGATATTCTTTTTAGGATAAAAAATATCGATGATGCTGAAGAATCGGAACAGCTTAATCCGTTGTTATTATCTGAAAGAGCTATTCTCAAATGTGAACTTGAGAAGGTCCTAATCATGGAAGAGATCTTCTGGAGACAACAGTCTAGAAAAGTATGGCTACAGGTGGGAGATAAGAATACAGGCTTCTTTCACAGAGTTGCTAAGGTGAATAAGAGGAAAAATCGAATCAAGAGACTGGTGATTGAGGGCAGGGTTTCAGATGATGGGAATGAGATTAAGATTGCCTTCCATAACCATTTCTCAATTAAGTTTGTGGAATCGGATGAGGATAGACCTTTTCCAGCCAGATACAGGGATTGTATGCTATCTCCCGAGGACAATGAAGACCTTGTGAAACCTTTTACGGAATTGGAAGTTAGGCAAGCAATTCAACAGTGTAATGGGAGTAAAGCTCCGGGGCCGGATGGATATTCGATCGAGTTTTATAAGAAAGCTTGGGATATCATTAAAAGCGACTTACTGAAGGCATTTGATGATTTCTTCCTTGCCGGCACCTTCCTCAATCGACAGCTCATACCTTCATATGTTTATTGCCTAAAAAGGATCCCTTCGAACTAGTGTCTGATTTTCGTCCGATTAGCCTACTTGGAAGTCTAAATAAAATCATTGCAAAGGTTCTGTTCAACCGCCTTCTGCCCCATATGAACACACTAATTTTTGATTATCAGTTTGTAGGAAAAAGGGGCAGGGTGATCCATGAATCTTGTTTGATTGCCAATGAAGTAATTGATAGTCGTAGAAGAAGTGGGAAACCGGGTGTTGTGATCAAGCTAGACATCGAAAAGGCATTTGACTCTATTAGCTGGAAGAGCATCTTGAACTCATTAACTCATTTGGGTTTGCATCCGAGGTTTCTGAAATGGCTTGAAGGACTGCTGTCATCTTCCAAGCTTTCCATCCTGGTTAACGGAGAATCTACCGGTTTTTTTGGTATGAGTCGTGGTATTAAACAAGGTGATCCTCTTTTGCCCTTCCTCTTTAATATTGGTAAGGACATACTTTCATTTCTTCTCTGTGAAATAAGAAAGAAGGGCTTATCACGGGGTTCTATATTAATGAAGAAAGACACATTGGAGAGGTCACACATCTACTCTATGCGGATGATGCCATCCTATTCTGTGAAGCAAATGAAGCCGAGGTCCATAACTTGTTGGCTGCTCTGATATGTTTCCAAGCGATTACTGGCCTGCAGGTAAACTTTGAGAAATCGAGAATTTTCCCGGTGGGTGAGGTTGCTAATATTGAAAGATTGGTGGAGATCTTTGGCTGTGATTGGGCTTTCGTGCTCGCAAGCCAAAGTAACTACATAAGCTCGCTGTTCTTAATCCCAAAGAATGTCATTAACTCCTTGGAGAAGATTGAAAGGGATTTTCTTTGGTCTGGTACACGGGATAGGGAGAAACTTCATCTTGTTTCCTGGGAACTTTGCAAAACTACCAAGAGCAGGGGAGGTTTGGGTATTCGTGACCTGGAGATAAATAATCAAGCTCTCATGCTCAAATGGCATTGGAGATTCGCGAACGAAAGAGGAACGTGGTGGAGGGAAATGATTAATGCCAAGTTTCCTAACTAGCAGTCAGAATGGTTCTCGGGCAGTCTATCGGGCAGTCTATCGGGCAGCGTTGGAGGTAGTCTTTGGGCCAGGATTGCGAAATTGCAGCCTGTTTTCTGGAATCTCACTCGTATTGAGCATTGTCAAGGTTATTGGACATCGTTCTGGTTTGATACCTGGATCAAGGGCGTCCGATTGGGTGAAGAATTTCCGAGAGTTTTAGCTGCTGCCGAATCCCTGAACTCCACCGTTGCTGATTACCTTTCTTTTTCTGAGGGAAACTGTCAATGGGATATTCCATTGATTTATTCACTTCGGGGTGGGGCTGAAAGAGAGCGGGTGAGGTTATTTGAGTTACTTCATTCTATTCCATCTCAAAACTTTTTTGCAGGACCTGAAACACCAAGGTGGCTTCCGTCCCCTACAGCTGGTTTCAGCGTTCATTCGGCCTTCGATCATCTAGCCGCTGCGAGATACGGGGGAATCACAAATTTTCCTTCAAAGGTGATTTGGCATAGCATCGTGCCGAGTAAGATCTGCATCTTCTTATGGCTGGTCTTCCACAAAAGAATCCTCACCATCGACAACTTGAAGAAAAAAGGTTTCTACATTCCGAATAGGTGTGTCCTCTGCAAGAATGAAGAAGAGTCCCCGAACCACATTTTCATCACCTGTGCATTCTCAAATCAGGTTTGGGGAAGGCTGAAATGCTTTATTAAATTGGAAGGAAGTGCTGTTGCGGGTCTGGACATATTGGAAAGAATCAGCCTTTGGTCGCGTGCGAATCCGGTAAACCCAACTTAGTGGTGTTCAAGAGTAGCCTTACATGCCTTCTTCTGGTGTGTTTGACTTGAAAGAAACAACAGAGTGTTCAATGATCAGGAGTGCCATGTCCCTTCACTTGAGATGAAGATTGGATACACTATTTTTTGGTGGTTGACGACAACAAGAAAGGTCGATAAAGATATTGCGGAAAGGTGGATCAAAGTAATGAAGATCAGACTGTTCCCCCACAATTTGCAGCAGATCGTGACTTCGGGATCACCGCTTCAAGAGGAAGAGCTGTATTCTTTGGTTTCCTGGTCTCTCTGGTCGGCTTCTGAGGTCGATTTCTGATCTTGCGGCGCCCTGGCGGCCTATGTCATCTGTACCATTAATTTTCTACCCTGTATTTTCACTGTCTTATTCGATTGTGTGGAACTAGTTCGGAAGTGGAACTGGATAGGGTTGCTGTCTGGGTGGGTACAGGCTCTTTTTTTCCCCCTTCTGCTGTTTCGACGTTCTGCTGGTGTTTGAGCGGGGGGGGGGGGGGGGGGGGGGGTGGGGGGGTCTCTTCTTCTTTTTTCCTCTGTTCCTTTCGGCTCGTCTGTTTCAGCCTGCGGAGCCGGTGTGGTTTTTTTCTGTCCTTGTTTTGGTATTTTCCAATTAATATATATCACCATCATGGTTCAAAAAGGCACGCTTAACCTTACGCCTAGGCACGCCTAGACGCAAGGCAATGGCAAAACGCCTCGCCTAGAGTTTTCGCGCTTAATTAGATACGGGAACATGTAAACGGAATAAGTTAACATATAAGTCTCTCATAAACATTATTTAGATGGAGTTAGAATGTCAATATTAAAGGAGAAAATTAACATCAACTACGAAATCAATTTTCTATATCAATTTTTTCAATAGGTTAAGAACTTTGCGAGCTATTGAGCATTGATTCTATAAATTCGTAAGCTATGTTTTTGTCATTAAGTGTTGAGTAAGTTATTAGTCATTTTAGCTTAAGTGAGGACGTGTTGCAGATTATTATTTCATTCATCATGCAATGAGAATAGCTATTTTTCTTCTAATGCCTAGGCATGCTTTGCCTACGCCTAGGCGAGCAAGGCGCTAGGAAAAGTCTCAACGCTCGCATTACGCCTAGCGCATTTTTGAACCTTGATCACCATTAACATATATGTATTTCTGTATAGCTAGCTTGTGTGGGCTAGGTATACATGAGGAGGGTTTACTATAGGGAGCACTGAGTAGTGGCATAGTCAGAATTCTATGTAAAGTGGGTTCCGAATTTTTAAAGAAAATGTATGGTAAATCATTTATTTTCTCAATTTTTATCATCTATGATATAGTCTCATGCATTAAAAAAATAAAAATAAAAATGTTCAAATTATTTAGGATGAACCTCAAAGGATTGATCTGGTGGTAATGTGGGGATGATAACATTCACCACACTCTGGATTCAAATTTTGGGTCAATAACAACGAAAAAAAACAGATAGCTAATTTCAAATATTATTGTATGCATTTGAACATAATCCCATTTCAAAAATTAGATTCGGTTTGGTGGGGGAAAAATTACTTAATATAAAATAGATTTAAGTTTTACTTCTATTCTCAACTAACTAGTATAATTTCCTAAAACAAAAGGGTAAATTGCAATGTTGGTCACTAACATTAAAAAAAACATTCACGTTTGGTCACTAAAAATATTTAAATCTATTCATGGTCACTTAAATTAGCTAAATATTTCAAGTTTGGTCACTCTCCGTCCAACTCCGTTAACTTTTGCTTATGTGGCGGTCAACTCTAATAGTTGAGTGTTAAATGTGTGACATGACAATTAAAAAAATAATAAAATAAATAAATTTTAATTCTAAAAAATTATCATTTCTAGGGATGTGAGTAACCCGCCAGCTGAGATCTCGCCGGAGATGAAGTTCCCTCGCAAGTAGAGGTTCCTGAGCAAACCTTGATTTATGATGTCGACCGGAAGGCTCCCCCTGAGCGCGTTGAAACGGACGGAAAGAGTATTGAGCTGGGTCAGGTTGCCAAGTTCTAGAGGGAACTCGCCGGAGAGACCCATCCAGGAGAAATGGAGCTCGACAACTCTGTTGTCGGCGCAAGTAACAGAGGCGTCTGTTCCCCGAGGATGGAAGTTTATGAAAATTGATTTATTTATGTTTTTATTTATTTTCTTTTCCTCTCCCACAATCACTTTCCAGCGTTTCCCTTCACTTTTTTTGCTAGTTTTATTTTATTTTATCTTCTTTTTATTTTAACTAGATAAATACTATAAAATATAATCTCAAAGTATACAGACGTTAAATTCAAAATATGCAAATTATAGAATAAAAGTATACGAACAAGCAATAGATCTTATAAAAATATAAAATGTGCATATCATATCATGAAAATATACAAATCAATATTATAGGTGTACAAAACATATCATGAATATATACAACCCAAAAAACAAGCTATACAAACCAGACCATAAAATTTTACAAACATTACAAATCATACAAACCTGATGTACAAATAATAAAAACCAAATTCACTAACAATACAAACTATACAATGATACAAACCATACAATCAAATTTACAAACAATAGATTCCACTATACCGACAAACATTACAAAGTCATCACCGTTGTCAAGAAATCTGTCGACATCTCTCTCTCTCTCATCCTCCACCGCTTCTCTCTCCTCCTATACCGCCACCGACTCCCCCCCCCCTCCCCCACAAAATGAAAAAACAACCTGGTTGACTTTGAAAATTTCGTCCCTATATAGAGAAATTTCTTCCCAGAAACCTACGGATGCTTTTTTAGTCATAAACATTATGCACTTACCACCTTACTTTTCACTAAATGAGACTAAAAGGTGTCATTGGATTAAAATTTAAGTAGAGGATTGGAATTAACTTAGTCAGGTGACTAATCCTATCCCTCATATGAGCCTTTGGCTATGACTCATATATAACCATTTTAGATTTCATGACAATGCAGTACTATATGATTTTCTTGATTGGGTGTAAACATGACATGATTAAGATGACATACTCCTTCACTGATCGTGCAGATAGATGGTAATGATGATTTTACTGGTGTACACCTCATCCAGGAAGGTTAATTAACTTTATGCACGAATGATTTCGTATGGCAAGACGTACTTTACATTATTAATACCAATGATTTCTTTTGTATTTTGAAGGGCAATTAGGCGTCAGGAGAA